GGGAGCACTGGAGTCACGGGGAGCACTGGAGTCACGGGGAGCTGAGGCGGCTGCGCAGGGGACTGGGCAGGGGGCACCCACTCCAGATCAGCAGCGTGCGCCGCAGGCGTGCGGCCAGCAGGGGGCGCCTCTGCGTGCGCCGCAGGCGTGCGGCCAGCAGGGGGCGCCTCTGCGTGCGCCGCAGGCGTGCGGCCAGCAGGGGGCGCCTCAGCGTGCGCCGCAGGCGTGCGGCCAGCAGGGGGCGCCTCAGCGTGCGCCGCAGGCAGTGGAGTCACGGGGAACATGGGAGTCTGCACAAGGGACTGGGCAGGGGGCGCCCATTCCAGGCCAGCAGGGGGTAGTGCAGCTGGAGCAGGCGGCACAGGAACCTCGGGGAACGGAGCAGGGGTAGCAGGCGCCACGGGTGCCTCGGGGGGCACTGCAGAAGGAAGAGACACAGGCACCTCGGGGACCGCAGCAGGCGCTTCGGGGGCCTCCGAGGTCGCTGGAGTCTGAGTGGGGACCACAGGAGCTGTAGTAGCCTCAGAGGGCGGCAACGCAGCAGGGGCGGCTTCCTCCTCTGGAGGGGCCAGCTCCGACCGCACCCAGAGCAGCTTCCTCAAGGTCCCCTCCGCCCTCTCCAACTGCTGAGGTGGAGCTGTTGGAGAGACGGTGGCGAATTCCCTCTGGAGCTGTTCCAGAAGCGCAACTGCCTCTGGGGAGTCCCTTACTGCAGGCTCACCTACCACCCGCCAGTATAGTCCCTGGAGAGCGAAGAACTTCCTAGCCGTCTTCTGGCAGGGCCGTAGTTCAGGAACCACGGGGGGCGCTGCAGCCTCAGGAACCACGGGGGGGCGCTGCAGCCTCAGGAACCACGGGGGGGCGCTGCAGCCTCAGGAACCACGGGGGGGCGCTGCAGCCTCAGGAACCACGGGGGGCGCTGCAGCCTCAGAAACCCGTGGGACAGCGTCCTTAATGGACCTAGTCCTTTTAAGGGCCAGGCGCATCCCGATGAAGGGAGAAGCGACGGCTGGCTTGGGCAGCGAAGCAGCGGGCAGATGGGCTTCGGGTGTCCGCTCAGGCGAATCGGCGGTGACGTCACCCACGAACACAGCCGGGTGGAGAATCGGGTGGGGATTCTCACTTCGCGCAGCAGGGCGAGCGGCGGAAAGTGAGACGGCCCCCAAACAGACCTCAGGTGCGTCCTCCTGTCTGTTCCCTCGCCTCCTTCTCCTTCTGCGCGCTGGCGCTGCCAATCCAGGCACCTCGGGTGCCGGCTTCGGTTGCCGGTCAGCTGCCGGCCAATACAGGCTGGGGTCGCAGAACGCGGAATTCGCCGGGATCATCCTGGGAATCCCGGGAAGATCGTCCCTCAGCAGGTATGCTGGCGAAGTACCTGGTCTTGCTTTCAAGAGTCCGGTCATTCTGTTACGGTCACGGTCCGACAAACAGGCAGGAAAACAGGGATCAGCGACACGGGGTTTAATTGAAGCACAACACTGAGCAGGCAACAATACAACATCAATGACCGGACTGGGGAAACAAACGGAAACGCGGACTAAATACAATGCACTAATGACAACAATCACAAACAGCTGTAAAACACTGGGATTCCACATGAGGTTAACGAGGGGGCGTGGCACATGAGAGAGGGGACGATCGGGGCATGACAGTATGTGTTTATATATAATGCACACAAATATTTAAATATATTATATATATTTATTTGTATATTTATATGTATGTATATGTTATATAAATATATATTTTTTACTTATTTAATACAAATAAGAAATGTTTTGTAATGTAAACGTCGATTAAACGTTGTATAGACGTTGAGGTCTGACTGGACTGATTTTGGACGTTTTTTGAACCATTTATATTCTGATGTGCATTTCACAATAAGGACGTTTATATTCAGGCTAATAAGTACACTGACATAACGCAGAAACACATCTTAAAAAACATCCAGACGACGACACATTAGACGTCCAGAAAAGACGCCGAAAAGACGTCGAATACACGGCAAGTTGACGTCAACGACGTCCGTTCAACTTTCATTTTTCAACCGGGACGTGTAGGAGGGACGTCATTTCAACGGTCATCAAACGTCCAAATGTTTGCTGGGTAATGTTTGTTTCGAAATAATCTGTATTCACATTTATTATGTTGATAACAACATTGTTGATATTTGTAAATAAAACTATATTTCCTGCACCTGTCATAGTCGTCCACATAACGTCAAAACAAATTACGTTCAAATGTTGAATGTCATATTGCCGTACAAGTTGGGTCATGGATGGACGTTCAAATTGTGGACCTAGTTTGGACGTTGTATAGATGTCCAGAATTGGTCATGAACCGACGGACCTAATATAGACATGATCGTCTATCCGACGTCCAATGTTTAGTGGGCTCATTCTCTCCCTCGTTAGTCCAGTATAAGAATGCCTGCCAGTCCTGTGCTCCCCAGTTTGGTCATTGATGTCACCCCAGTATGCGCTCCAGTGCCTTTCGATGTTAGCCCTGTTCAATTCCCTTAATAAACCCCTCATTTTTAGCCCTAATTAATCCTGCTCTTGCCTCTGTGTTTTGGACCGCGACAACGCATACAGAGAACAAAGAAACATATAGTTCTTTATGCGTATCATGAGTTTTCAAAGTGTTTAGGAGTTTTAATGTGTTTAGGAAAAAAAATGTCCTACACATATATTTGTGCACCTTCTATGTTTCATGATTGCCAAGCTATTATAAATCTAAATCTATGTTCGTTTTAATTTTTTTGTTTGTTTAAAGTTTAACTGTTTATGCATAAAAATTCACATAACAAAAACACAAATAGCATTGTAATTGATATCAGAAGTTGTCTACAATTGCTTGCCGAAGTCATGCCTAGATATACATTAAAAACTTTTAAAATCTGAAACTTGGATATTAATTTAGTTACAATATTCTCAATGGTATAATAAATTGGAAACATCCACCACATTATCTATTACATTATTCATTCTGGATACATGAAATACATTTACATCAGGTACTGAAGCAATATCGTTACATGATCTTTATTTTATTCTTTTATTTTATTCTCTTTTGTGCATGCGGGGTCCTAAACGTGGCAAGGCTTGAGAATGGCGAATTGTTCTGTGCATGCGTGAACTGGGAGGGGCCTGACAAGCGGGACCTGAGAAGGGTAGCTGCAGTTTTATACTTTTAAGTTTAAGACATGTATTTTTATGGGAAAATTCTGAGATACAGATAACCAAACACATAAACCAGGGATTTCAAAGGAAAACCATGGATTGCATTGAAAATGGTACAGTAAAAGTTGACCAAATTTTGTCTGGAAATAGCGATGGACCATACCTTTCAGAAGACTGTTTAGACATTATGGAAGACTAAGGTTTTAGTACATCCTGTACTTCATACATATGACAATAAATCTTGAATTATTTTCCTTTGCGCGATCTGATAACGTGATTTTATGTCTATGCGTGCACCAGAATATTTTAAGCGCGTATGATTTGACAGTGTGTCGGCAGAGCGTGGATAGCTATTTCAGGCAATTTTAGGTCCCCAGAAACGTGTCAGAGCCTGCTGTACAGCAGCAGCAAATAAAGAGTGCTGAAAAGTAATTTAATTTTGAACACTAATACAATAATCGTACAATAAAATAAGTATAACTGCAATATTATAAGAGAACCCCTTTGAATCTTGATTTTTAGAAAATTGGCAAGTAAATTGCCGCTGAAAATGCCACTACAAAAATGGTCTTCTGCTTGTGATATTTTGACACGACCCCGGAAATACTGACATTTAGGAATGTTTACGTAACTTCCGGTAGCCCTGTTTGGTTCGTCATTTAGTAGTTTCTGCATTTGGAGGTTGGATGTGTGGTGAGTTTAAATGATTTACTTTTTAAATGGAAGTATAATTGCAGTTGATTGGACATTGAAGTAATTTGACATATCGGCCCATGCATTGCTTTTGTCAGTGATTATGTGGTGTGGTTTTTGTAACCTGCGAATTGAAAGTTAGCGATACATTTGTATTTTGTTTTCTTTCTCAGTTACCAAGAGTATTTTGTATGATTTGTATCGTAAATCGTAATTTACTGTTAAGTTCAAATTAGGGAAATGCACCTTTTGTTACTTTTTCGACGAGAGCTTTTGTGTGTTGTAACTAATGAAGAAGTTCGTATGTTTAATCGTTTTACCATTCCATTTAACGCATTCTCTTAGGTTGAGTTGCAATTGAATTGAGTGCAAAGTTTTAAAAAGTTGCGAAATCTGGAAGACTGAAAATGATGATTATTGAATTAGTTCGCTTCCTTGCAGAGTAAATGTCTGGGCATTATTGTTGTTGCTGCAATTTTTGTATTATAGTGTGTGTTAATTTAGCCAGTAATATGGCATAAAAACAGATTAGTTGCTGGATTCCATTAAAATGTGTGTTACAGATCACGGTGCCTGTCAGGTTAATAACAGTGTTTTTTTAAGCGGACATTACATGGGTTTTACAATTCATTAAAAAATCCTGTTCATGGACTTTATAGTATTCATTATTTGACTTAAATATCCCAGAGTTGTGCTGTTGTGTGTATTTTGTATAATACTGATCCTAAAGAGGTTGTCTTGGTTTATAAACTGGGCTATCTGCTTTGGCTGTTGCATAAGGGGATTGGTCACCGTTAAGAAGAAATCTTATCAAGACCCTCCAGATGTTTCTCGCTGTCTTCCATCTTTGAAACTGTCATTCAAGGGTCTACATTCATTGCTCCTACTGAAGACATTCTTGTATCAGCCACCCTCTGGCAGGCCAATTTTATTGCATATATTCTATATTAACTCTTCAGCATAATCTTAATACTAATACTAATACAAAAGTATCTTTACTGGGTGGCTTTCCTTTAGCAATTTATCTTGTACATCTTGTAGTTCTTTTTCCGTTTATTTGGTCGTCCAACTTTACTTACAGCTGAAGCACACAGGGGCTTCGTACTGAATGCAGAAATTGGTGGCAGTATTGGGTGGAGGGTTGGCAGGCCTCTCTGCCTGCTATCACCTCAGCAGAAGTTCCAAGGTGTCCAAGGTGAGGTCTCCTGCCACCACATTACACTGGGTGTGGCTCTCTGAGCATATTATGTTAAATGAAGGATTTGAAAGGATTTAAGGGTGTTTAATGAATTATTCCAAATCAAATTACCCAGTTTGAGAAGTTTCTCTGGTCACTCTCATATTGAGCTGGACGTGCCATTGCAAAGGAGCTATGAATTTTGGAAGCTGAACTGCAAAAGTAGTTTGGCAAAATATATAAAAATAATTTACATTTTAAAAGAATGTGGTTTCAAAACTATTAAAGATACAAACCTAATATTTGGGTTTTCACCATAAGTTTTGCGTAGGAGCACCTGTGAATTTTCAGGAGAATCAGAGATGGTAACTTGGGATGCTCTGGATGATTTGAAATGGCCATAAATACATTTCTCTGATATATTTTTAAAGCAGTTACATTATAAACACCAAATCCATTTTTAGTGTTTATTGAGCTGTAATTCCTTCCATGTGCAGATATTGCTCCTGGAAGGTGGAGATCGATTTGGGGGCTGGCTGAGCTCAATTCGAAGAAATGATGGTGCAGTCTTTGAGTGTGGGCCCCGAGGCGTGCGACCTGCAGGTCCTGTGGGCCGCAATACCCTGAACATGGTACTAATTAGATGCCATGCTGAGAAAAACTTGTCCCATCTCAGTTCTGGCTCAGGCACTGATGCTGAGCATAACAAAATACCATGATTAAAATATGAAACACTGTTAATGTTTTAAAGAGTTTAAGAATAAAATGTTATCCTTTGGAATATTCTGATAGCTAACAGAGTTGGGCTTGGAGAGTGAGGTCCTTCCCATCACCTCTGATCATGTGGCTTCAAAGAATCGTTTCCTTTACCTGAGGGGGCAGCTACACAAAATGCCCTCTGGTTTAGGGTAAGGACGTTGTGCAGAAATGTCGCAGTTCACCAGTAAATTTTGAATACCTTAAGTTTAACTGCTTGAGTCGTTTTTGTCTTGTACAGAGTAACTATGAAAGCGATAAGAGAAATGGCTGCTGTAGTGAAACCCTGTTCCTGCCTCTGTTCTTCAGGGGGCTGGTGTGGACGGTCCCCCCCTTTTCCCGCCCTCTGCTGCAGAGCGCCCTCAAGGAGATTTTTATCAGCAGAGGGAAGGAGGAAGATGAGACCGTCCACGCGTTTGTTGAGAGGAGACTGGGAACAGAGGTGAGAGGGGTTGTTGGTTGTATCACAGAGAGAGAAGAGCTTTGAAAGGCGGTACCGTCACATAGGATGCTTTTCCACTGCACCAAGTACCGTACTTTTGGTTCAGTAATTTTTGGTACTTTCACTTTTTCCATTGACTTCCAGTCGAGTACCAGTAGCATAAGTGCCAAACCAGCTGGGGTACTTCTTTGGTACTTTGGGGTGGGACTTGAAACGCTTTCTTTGTTGATTGGTTATGCAAATAGGCTGCCGCTGAAACACAATACAAACGGCGCCTTGACAGCAGTTGCAAACTCAGAAAACAACGATATACAAGGTTAAATAAAATAAATAAAAACATATTGCAATCTGGTCTGAAGAACATGTACAACAAAAAGATCAGGATGGCATGACAAGAAATTAAACTGTTTTGTTTAATATACTAGTACAGCACGCATATAGCGTACAGCATGCTGTCCTAGCGATGTGATTTTGTTGTAATATACACTCACCTAAAGGATTATTAGGAACACCTGTTCAATTTCTCATTAATGCAATTATCTAATCAATCAATCACATGGCAGTTGCTTCAATGCATTTAGGGGTGTGGTCCTGGTCAAGACAATCTCCTGAACTCCAAACTG